CATGTGGTGGCTGCCTCTCCTTCCCGTGGACTTTGCCTGGGCCTGTTCTCTCCTCCCAGGTTCCCTCTGCAGACCTTGCTCCAGCTTGGACCTCCACTCTGGTCCTGTTACGTAGACCCACTGGCTCAGCCTCTTCTGGCTTGACGATTTTTTCTCTTCCCTGGTCAGGTGGCCCGTGGGTTGCAGCCACCTGGCAGGCCCGTGCCGCTAAGAGGCTGCTTTGGTGGCCAAGTGGCTCTCATTGTCGTCACCCCTCAAAGGAGCTGCAAAGGGCCAGGCAGGTCGCCCGGCCCTCTTGTGAGCAGAGCCGGGTTAAAGGGGGAGGGGCGGGAGGATAAAGGCCCAGCACGTGCGCCGCGGCCGCAGGACCAACAGAGTGAGAGGGAGGGGCCAAAGAGAGTCAGTCCCCCCACCCGGGGCTGCACCCAGGGAGCCTAAATATTAGGAACAAAAGCGGGAAAAGAAGAGTGAGCGCAGGAGGGAGGGAGGGTAGGAGGAGGCAGAAATTAGGGGGTCTTAGATGAAAAAAAAAAAAAAAGAAAGTAGCTTTAGGGAGAATGTGCTGTGGAGTGTGAAATTGCAGCCCATGGTGCTCCATATTGTACCAGAAGCTCTTCCAAAAAAAAAAAAAAACAAAACCCACCACAAAACCTCCAACCATCCTCCAACGTGACCAGAGGGCTAGGAAGGAGGAGGGGAGGGGAACAAACCAAGAGGGGGAGGGGAAGGGCAAGGCGCGTTCTGGGTCAGACCGAGCAGGGGAGGGGGGGACCTGGGTGGGTGCACCCCCCTGGCTGCTGGAATCCAGCCGCCTCGGGTGTGCTCCTGGGTGCGCTGGGCCCAAAGACAAGTGGGCCGCGAGGTCCATCTCAAAGCTTCGGCGTTAGACTTTTTTTTTTTTTTAAGTAGTAGTAACTTCCAAAAGCTGGGAAGAATCTAGAAAAGCGGCCTGGCCGTGGAGCTGCTCTGCACTCTTTCCTCCCTCCTCCGTTTCTACTTAGCTTCCCTTCGGACTAGTTCCCCCCACCCCCCTTAGTTCTAAACAGTTTTTCCCCCCTGAACTTTAATGCGTTTAATTTGGTCCGCGCTGTGGGGAGCATTTCCTGGGGAGATACATTTAATTTCGGAATTTCTAATCCCCTCCCTCAGAGCCCAGGCCCAGGCGCCCCTTGCCTCTCCCCAGGAGGTGGAAGAAGGCAGGCAGACCCAGGACACAGGGGAGGGGCAGGGCTGGTGTTCCCCCCCACCCAGGCACCCTGTGGCCCAGCCGCTCCAGGTCCGGGCCCAGCTGGGGACAGGAAGCAACCACGCCTCTGCTTGGCCAAGAACTGACTAAAGAGAGCTGGGCAGGAGGACGCCGCACTCTGAAACCAGCAGAGGGTTGCAGAGCGAGCGAGTGCAAGTGGTCAGGGTCCAGAGATCAGCTCAAGAGCGCTGAGTGCGAGTTGCGCTCGGCTGGGCTCGGGGCGCTTGCTGGTGCTCTTCCCGGACACTTCCTAACGCGGAGCCAGCAGGGCTGCAACTTGGCCCGCCGCGAGGGAGGAGGCGAGAGCGGGGGGGCCGGGCGCCCTGCGAGCCTGGCGGGGAAGGGCGTGCGGAAGGCGAAGGAGCCGAGATCCACAAGGAAGATTTATTGGGCAGATCAGATGCACAGAGGCGGCTAATGAAGCAAATCCCGAGATGGGTATCAGAGCAACTCCCCAAAAGTTTATTTGCCTTTAAATTTCCGCAGGGAGGCGGGAGCCTTGTTTGAAGTGTAAATGCCCCTAGGTTGGGGGGTGGAAGGGCCTCTTTGAAAACACGAGAGAGAAAAGGTTCATTTAGAGACAGACGGAAAGGCAACCAACCCTGACAGGTCGGAGCTCGGGTTGTGTTTGGGGTTGGGTTGTTTTCTTTCTCTTTCATTCCCTCTTTCCTCTGTCTTCCCCCCTTTTCCCATTTTCCTGCGCCCCCCCCTCCAAGTCTCTATAGAAGAAGAAAGGAAAGACGCCGTCAGAGTGAGAGGCCTGTGGCTGGAGAGAAAGCCATGGACCATCCCTTCATCCAGGCGCCCTTTAGAGCCGCCACGGAAAGGGGTACCTAAACATGGGGTACTGTTCCTTAACTTTTTACACCCGAGAACAGGCCAGTGCTGAGGAGGAAACTGACAGAGGCTGGCCTGTGCGGAGGGAGGGTGTGTTCAGTACTGCAGTTCTTGGGGGTGTGTGTGTTAGTCCCAGGAACAATGGGTTTCTTGGAAGCTGGACTCTCTTGGAAGGGTCTTCACTGCCCAGGGGAGCACACTCAAAGAACAGGTGTGTAAGCATAGCTCCAGCACATTCTGTGCAGTCTATCTCCATCTACAAGATGGGGAAATCCTTTCTTACAGGGTGTGTGAAAACGTCTGCCACCTGAACTCGCTCACAGCATGTGAGTAACCTAGCTAGCCCTAGAGACCTGGCTCTAGAAAAATCTGTGTCTAAAGTGAAGGAGGTTTCTGATCATAGTCTTGTTCCTCCAATAGTTCAGACTTCCCAAGACTTAACTTCCCGAATGAGTATCACTGGGGAAAGTTTGTGGTCAAGGACTCCTTTAACTCTGAGGACTCTTCCTCAAGGACCCTTCTTGCCTCCCAATTCGCAAAGGAAGCCCGGAGATGGCCCCAACTCATACAACCTGAGAGTCCTTTGCTCCCAGCCCTGAGGGCAGGACCCTCCAGGCGCCGCGCGCTGTTTGTCTTTATCGCTCCCCACATGAAGTTAGCGCGTGTGCGTGGGGTTGCGAGGCCAAAGCAAACCCGGGAGCGCCATCTGCAGGCCTCTAGAGGAAGAGCCTGACCTTCGGGCAGGACCCGGCGCTCTCCACCTCCAACCCTGGGGAACTGGCTGGGCTGCCCGAGGGAGGGTGAGGGGTGGGGACGAAAAGGGAGGGGGCAGCGAGGAAGATTTTTTTTCCTCCCAAAAGTTACTCCAACAGGGAAGTTGGGTTCAGGAAGATGCAAGACTGAGGGCAGATGCCGGGATATCGCCAGACCCGGTGCTCTAGGAGTGCAGAGGCTGGAACCTGGTCGGGCTGGGCTTAGTCTGAGGCCTGCCTAAGGAGTAAGGGGGGTAGGGGGCCGCAAACCAGATTTAGATGGCTTGTTAAGAGTCTCTTCTTGGTTGAGTCCTCCGGGTGAGGACGCTGACCCCTGCGCCCCCCGGCCAAAGGAGCCACAGCGCGCATTGCCGGCTTCCGTTCGCGCCCAGGGCTGCGGGCAGGCCTTGGGGAGCTCGGCCGGGCGGCGGGCGCGCAGCGCAGCGCAGCGCGGGCTTCTCCAAGCCGCCCTTTCCGCAGACCCGGGGAAGCGGGGGGAGGGAGCGAAGGAGGGAGAGAGAGTTAAAACATCAGCTGAAGTGCCAAGATGATTTATGAGACGAGGGAAAATATTTCATAAAGATCTCCCGGATATTCTGTACTTAACCAGTTAGGAGACAAAGGGCCTCTCTTGCTTGGTGCTGGAGAGCGGACCCAAGCGAGAGAGCGAGTGCCGGTGACGGCGGCGAAGGCTGGGCGGGCGGCTCCAGCGGGAGCCGGGCCGGGCTGGGCGCGCTGCGCCTCCTGCGCTCGCCCGGGAGCCGCGCCGAGCTGGCAGCGGGCGGCGCTCAGCCGCGCTCGCCGCTTCCTCTTCTCCCGAGCCGGGGAGACCAAGCCGGGGGCGCCCACGTCCGCTGCCCCGAGACCAGCCGCTCCCCACTGTCTCTTTTCCCAAGGCCCCTCCTCCGCAAGCCGAAGGCCCAGGAGCCAAGTCCCCGGGTTTCTCCCGCCGTCCGTTGGGTCCCACCGAGGCAGGTGGGTCCTCGCCGGAGGTTTCCAGCTCCATTCCAAACCAAGTGCCCTGGGCTGTCTAGACCCCTGTGACGAAGGGGATGAGGTCCGGGACGCGGACGCAGACGCGGCGCGGGGGACGGGAGAGGACAAGCTATTCGCACTTTGCCCCGGAATGAGAATCGGGGGTGCGTGGGCAGGGAGGTACCCCTGGAGGGAAAGAGAAAGGAAAGGAGCAGAGAGGGAGGAAGGAAGAGCCAGGAGGGAAGGCAGGGAACTGGGGTCTGGGATAGGGGAGTTGGGACCAGGGATGTTCCGGGCCGGGCCGCGCGGCCTTGGCAGGCGCTGGCCGGCGGAAGGTAGGGCTGGGAGAGTTGGGACTGCGACGGGCTTGGAAGCGCGGCGCGCCGCGCGGCCTCTGTTGGTGCCTGAATATTCATTAGACCGACCGCTCTTTATCCTTATCTAACGTTTATCTTATCGGCGAGTTTCGTTTCTCCGTGTAGTTTTAATCCCGGACCCCCCTTCCCCCTCCCCGGGCCGCTCCCCTCCCTCACGCTCCCTTCGCCCGCCGCTCCCTCCCTCCCGCTCGCTTCCCCCTCCCCTGTCCTCCCCTCGCCGGCACCGGAGTGACAGGCGCGGGGCCCTCCTCGCCGAGGCTCGAGGCTCCGGCGCTGGCGAATCACAGAGTGGTGGAATCTATTGCCTTTGTCTGACAAGTCATCCATCTCCCGGCGCGGGGAGGGGGAGGGGGTCTGGAGGGGGCTTTGCAGCTTTTAGAGAGACACACACCGGGCGCCGGCGCTCCAGTCTCCGGCCGAGCCTCCTTGCAGCCGCAGCCCACCTGGGGCCAGCCCCGCGCAGCCGGCGCGCCCGGCTCCCGCCTCCTCGGCCTCGGCCGCAGCCTG